CAGCTGGCTGCCCACAGTTAACATATCGGTGCCAGGCACCGAAGACCAGTGAAGAAACTGGCATGGGTGAGGACAATGCTGGATTCCTGGTCAGGAGTGTGTCTTTTTATTAAAAGTCAGCAGCTATAGTATTTGTAGCTGCTGCCTTTTATTTTTTACAGAATGACTGAAGAACCGCAATAATGTATTTCTGTTTACTGTTTTAATAGCCAAAGGATTTGTAATCCTGTATAGCCAGTCTGGTGATTTAGACACACTTTTCACACTGCACAGCCAGACAGGGGACACGAATAGTCCCTTATTAAAGCTCATCTTGAAGAAAATTTTATGCTGTCCCATTTTCCTTACCCCCACACCACAGTGTGTAAGAAAAAAACACTCTAATTTTTTTTCATACCTAAGTATGCTGTTATGACTTTCCATGATGCCTCTTTCTGGGTGCAGACCAGTGAGTAGGCACCACAGCCAAAGCCTGCTGCATACCAGTCTCTTGCCACCCTGTTATGATGTTATCACACTGCTAAAGTCTTCTGAGAGGTAGGAGGACTCTGCCATTGGACAGCCAAACAAAAGTGTCCTTTGTCATCCAGGCAGTGATGGGGGCACTTGAAGAAGGATCCTTCCACTCTGCCATGTGACTACAGATTCCGGTAAGTAAAAGGGGCTTTTAGGTAAATTTATAAACCCAGATATAAGTTAGAGGGGAACAGGAGTTAAAGGACAGTGAGGGAGGAGGTCATCTAACATGAATTTTAATCAATTCATATTGCTTATTTATCAAATAATTTTTCTATGTCACACCTTTGCCTTCAACCTCTTCATTGGTGAGTGAAACAGATTCATCATATCTTTCCAATAACTAGACACCTGACTCAGGAAGCAATAATGCTACAATGAGGGATGGTGCGGTGATTGTCCTGACTGCCAGAGGTGTGTGGTCACAAAATCAACAGGCCAAAATTACTAATGCTTTGATAGGGAAAACAGTTAACATATTTATTTTAACCTTGTATTTAACTGTTTGCCTGGAGTTCCACTTTAGGAAGTGAAGCTAAGCATTATGCACATATGGACTTTTTATGACCACTGCCATAAAATGTGAGAATAATATAAGTAATGATAGTATTAAGTATATGAATTATATTTTTTATTTGCCATTATGTTTATTTATATTAACATGTAGACTAATCTGTTGAGCAAAATTGACAGAGGGTTTTGCGCAAACTTTATATATTTTTACAGATTTCCTGAAGGGACAACGTACATGTTGTATGTTTTCACAACATTCTAGGTGCTCTTTAATGCTAGTTGCAATGACGGGCAGGACACCCCACTTCCTTGGTGCATGACCACCCAACATCAAAGTCTTCACAGTCTTTGCTAGCAAGCACCTGTCTCAGGGTCCCAGCACTTGGTTGAGGTACACACCTCAGAATGCAGAGGGAATTGATTTGTGTTAGCCTCACCTTCCTCTGTGCTCCTCATGCCGATGCTTGTGTTAGGCAAATGTTGGTAGCTGGAGACAAGCTCTTTCTAGGAAAGCAGCTGTCACATTGCTAGATTCAGTGTCAGGTGGCCATGTGGTGGGAAGTGAGGCAAACTGCTGCAAGTATTAAGTGCAGGGACGTAGAGAAACAAACACCTGCAGCAGCCTCCTAAAACTTCATTTCTCAGTTGGGTCTCAAGCCATTCTAATAGACAAGGCTTAGTTTTTTTGTTTTATTGCTGAAAGTTGCCCAACTTTTTTTGCCTTCTGTGTGTTCCTATTGACCATTGAGGCTGGCCATCATACTAATGAGCCAGGAGTAATGTGTGAGGCTTAATAGCAAGTTCTGACCCTACCTGGAAGTGTTGAAAGCTTTGCCTGTCAGAATGGGCCAGTACTTGGCCTTGACATGAATGTTTGGGATGCTTCTAGATGCCTATTCTTCATACCCAGGGGCGGACTGACCAATTGGAAACTCAGGCACTGCCTGAGGGCCCGGGGTCAGTAGGGAGCCCCATGAGATGCCCTGGTACCTTTTTCATAGGCTTTTTTGAGTGTGGGCAAGGACACAGGGGCCCCATGATCCCCTATTGCCCAGGGGCCCCATGAGTTGTCAGTCCGCCCCTGTTCATACTTGTAGATGTTTATGCTCTTCCCTCCAGTAATAGAGGGTTCCATTCACTAAAGCAGATTGCATGCGGTATTTAGGTGACCTGACACGTTTTTTTCCCAAATATCAGATGCAATATGGTATTTACCTCAAAAAAGCAAAAACTCTCAGTAAACACCGCATAAAACAGCATTAAAATCAATTCACTAAAGTAAATAAATAAATGCATGTGGTAAAAAAAGTAGTGGTCCAGGCATGCAATAGTTAAGGAATCTGTTTTATTTTAGCTGGTTGTTGCTGGCATCCTTAACAACCAGTAAACAGCTGTCCTTAACAATCATGACTCATCTGCTGTCAGCGGGATACCCTGCTGACAGTAGAATGTAAGCAAAAGAATTGCCAGCATTAAAAAATAAAAATAAAATCAGTCTGGAGGCCGCTCCAAACCATACCAGGCCCTTCAGGCATGGATTTTGAGGGGAACCCCACACCAAATTTAAAGAAAAAAAAATGGCTTGCTCCCCCCCTCAAATCCATAACAGATCCTGCAGCCTGAAAGGCCAGGAAAAGGGGGGTGGATGAGTGCCTCCCCTTTCCTGAAAAAATACTAGGCCACATGCCCTCAACATGAAGGGGGTGCTTTGGGGGAGGGGTGAATTTCAGACGCTGACCCAAATGAAAAAAAACAAAAACCTGACCTGCCCCAACGCTTGGCTCCCGCTGAATGACAGCTCCCACTGCTAATTAAACTAAGGGGCAGGACCACCCGATGACATCAATAAGTGACCTCACCCCCTAAGACATCATCGATCCATCATGCCTCCATGTTGAAGGCATGTGGCTTGATATGGTTCGAGGGGGGAGGAGGAACTGACTCGTCACCCCTTTCCTGGCCTGCTTAGATAAGGGTCTGGTATGGATTTTGGGGACCCCAAGCCATTTGTTTTTTTAATTTTGGTGTGGAGTTCCATACCATACCGGAAAGGCCTGGTACAGATTGGGAGGAAGGGCATGCAGTTAAAAAATCCCATTTGTGCAAATATGTTTGAAAGAAAAAAGGGGTGCGGTTGCACTTAGGAAACAAATTAGTTAACATATATGTGAAAGAATTTAACTATATATAAAATACCTTCACACTGGTGCCCCACATAGATGTAAACTCACCGTCATTTCATGACCACCTATCTCTAGGTAAGTTACACTTGCTTTTTCGGACTATCCCAGTTTGCAATCCGGTCCTGATGGGCAATATTCCTTCGCCCTTATAACCGTGGTTGCTGGTAGTTACCAATAACTTTCCACTAGATCTGCAACAATGTTAGGCAACTCCTCTCCTCCACAGGCAGTATTTCATATTTTCAGCATAAATCAAAACAAAACCAGACATCCCACAGTGTAAAACTGTATAAAACTTTTTATGTGGTCAAACAATAGAAATGTCACTCACAAAAAAAGTGCCTTTCCTGGCACTAGGTGTATTCAGCTTTGTATATTATAAATTGGAATTAAGATGACCGCCGCATTCCAGCATGTGTTCCAAATCCCAGAAGTGTCATCAGCGGAAGTTGTGTCATAAGCCCTCGACTAGGTTTGACCAATAGATGGTCCTCAGGAAGTACCAAATGAGGACGATCTATTGGTCGAAACTAGTCGAGGGCTTATGACACAACTTCCGCTGACGTCACTTCTGGGATTTGGAACAAATGCTGGAATGCGGCGGCCATCTTAATTACCATTCATAATATACGAAGCTGAATACACTTAGTGCCAGGAAAGGCAATTTTTTGTGAGTGACATTTCTATTGTTTGACCCCGTATTAAAGTTTTATACAGTTTTACACTGTGGGATGTCTGGTTTTGTTTTGATTTATGCTGAAAATATGAAATACTGGCTGTGGAGTAGAGGAGTTGCCTAACATTGATGCAGATCTAGTGGAAAGTTATTGGTTACTACCAGCAACAACAACAGTTATAAGGGCGAAGGAATATTGGCCATCAGGACTGGATTGCAAACTGGGATAGTCCGAAAAAGCGAGTGTGACTTACCTAGAGATAGGTGGTCATGGAATGACAGCGAGTTTACATCTATGTGGGGCACCAGTGTGAACACAGTGAAGCGCTTGTCATTTCAGTATGGAGTAACACCGTTAAAGATACAGCACCGTTGCACAAATTATTCACATGTTGGGACTGAATATTAATATTGTATTTGTATTTTGCTCTTTGTTATCACTTTAACTGCTAGGGCACTTATACCCCCTTCCTGCCCAGGCAATTTCCAGCTTTCAGCACTGTTCACTTTGAATGACAATTGCATGGTCAAACAACACTGTACCCATATGAAATCTTTATCATTTTTTTGTGACAGAGCTTTATTTTGTTGGTATTTAATCACCTCTGGGTTTTTATTTTTTCTTAAACAAACCAAAAACCACAGAAAATTTTGAAAAAAAAAAATTTTCTTAGTTTTTGTTATAAAATTTTGTAAATAAGTGATTTTTCTCCTTCACTGATGTGCGCTAATGAGGCTGCACTGATGGGAACTGATAGGCTGCACTGATGGACACTGATAGGTGGCACTGATGGGCACTGATAAGGAGGCACTGGTAGGTGGCACTGATGGGCATTGACAGGCATCACTGATGGGCACTGAAAGGCAGCACTGATACATGGCACTGATATATGGCACTGACAGGCAGCACAGATAGGGAGCACTGACTGACACTAATAGGCAGCACTGACTGGCACTGTTACGTGGCACTGACTGGCACTGTTAGGCAGCAATGACAGGCATTGATAGGCGGCACTGATGCACACTGATAGGCAGCACTGACTGGCACTGTTAGGCGGCACTGATAGGTGGCACTGATTGGCAGCACTGATAGGTGGCACTGATTGGCACTGACTGGCGCTGATGGGTGACATTGAAAGGCAGCTCAGATGGGCACTGATATGTGGAATTGATGTGCACTGGTAGGCACTGATATGTGGCACTGATGTGGCACTGATGGACACTGGCACGAGGCACTGAAGAGCACTGACATAAGGCACAGGTGGCACTGCTGGGGCTACACTGATCATCAGGGCACACTAATCATCAGTGCCCTGATGATCAGTTTACATGTCCCCTCCGCGGAAAGCCGATTACCGGCTCTCCTCTCGAGCTGTCAGGGTGACAGCTCGAGAGGAGAGAAATGCCAATAACCAGCATTTCCCTGTTTACATGTGATCAGCTGTGATTGGACACAGCTGATCACATGACCGAGCTGACATCTTCGGCTCTTTCCGTGATCGGTGATCCGCTGTGTCCAAGGGACACAGCGCACCGCCGATCGCCGCGCTGCGTGCTCCCTGAGCCGCGCATGCACAGTGAGAATGGGAGGACTTCATATGACGTCCTCCCAGAATGAGAGAACCACCTTGCGGGAGGTGGTTAAAGATTGCACAGTTTAATTTGTCTATTTGTGACCTTAGCGCGGTCCATTTTTGAAATATATAAAAAATCCCATTGACAGCAGGTGAGTCATGGTTGTTAGCCCTGGTTCACACTAATGCGGTGCAGCACATCGCTTGTAATTCGCACAGGAACTGTACCGCATTCCTGTGCAAATCACGTGCAATGTCTGTTTGAGCCATACATTTTGTGTGGCTCAAATCAAATCACATCCGCACCAAAAAGGTGAAGGATCCTTTTGTTTTCCCACACCTGATTCACATCGCGTGGGTGTTCACACCCATGCAATGCGGATTCTAGTAATCGCACTGCATTTCGCGAATTGTTTTGAAATGTTGTTAATTTATTGTACCAGGTCGCAGGATTTCAAGTGCAATGTGGGAAACGCGCAGGATTTCCCCCGCGCTGCATTAGTGTGAACCAGGGCTTAAGAACACAGCGATCACCTGCTCCTTAACAACCAGCTGTTTCCTGGTTGTTAAGGACACTGGCATAAAAATAACCTAGCTTTCACTACTGAAATACAGCATCACTTCATAAAATAGCTCATGTTGTATTTTATGAACATTTAGTGAATTGCAAAAAAATCAAACACCTTTTCCAGTAGTCTTTCAGGACAGCACCTTGAGAGACCTCGGCTCCTCCCCACCTGAGGAAACACCTCCACCCTAAATAAAAACACTGTCACTCCCCTCCGACCTCAGTTCTTGGCATAGTACCTCCGGACACCTGGGGAGACATAACATAAGACACCAAAAAAAACACAATAAGACATCTCTCATAAATATTATACAACAGAGGGTGGGTAACCGGTGCTGTCCTGAAAGACTACTGGAAAAGTAGTAGAAACTTTGATTTTCCCCTCTCGTCTTTCAGGACAGCACCTTGAGAGGATAAGCGAGTACTCACCCCTAGGGTGGGCCCATTGCTTGCAGCACCTTAGGTCCGAAGGTCTGCTCTTGCACCGAGACCAGGTCAAGTCTGTAATGCCTAATGAAGGTCCCATAACTTGGTCAAGTTGCAGCCCTACAGATCTGTCCCGGGGAGGCCCCTGCCTGTTCCACTTTTGTGGCCGCCATGGCACGCATAGAATGCGCCCTGATTCCCTCTGGGACCTCTAGACCCTCTGCCCAATATGCCTGCTCTATTGCTAGTCTCAACCATCTAGCCACCGTGCGCCTGGGGCTTTTTGACCTTTTTGACCTTTTCTAGCCCCCGCAAAAGAAATAAAAAATGAATCGGTTCTACAAAATTCCTTTGTCCTATCAAGGTAAAGGAGCACACACCTTCTTACATCCAACCTGTGAAATTTTACTTCTCTTTCACCCAAAGGATTAGGGTAAAATAAGGTAAAACAATATCCTGTCCCCTGTGAAAATCTAAGGCCACTTTGGGAACAAAGGCTGGATCCGTCCTGAACACAACCCTATCTGAAAAAATCTAAAAATAAGATGCTCTGATAGACAGGGCTTCCAGCTCACTCACCCTTCTTGCCGTGGTGATTGCTACCAAAAATACTGTTTTAAACATGAGGGCCCTAAGGGAACTGGAACCTAAGGGCTCAAACGGCGGCTCCATTAACACTCTAAGTACCATCGACAAATCCCAATTTGGAAAAGGTCTATTTCCTGCCAGTCTCGGTCTTGACAGAGCCCTAAAAAACCTAATGACCAATGCCTCCTTTGCTAAAGGGGATCCCTAGCCCTTTATCGGCCCCCGCCTGCAAAAATTCTAGCACCGACACCAGGCTATGGGTATCTACTGAGGCCCTGGAGCACCCCTCATTAAAACACCTGCAGACCTTCCTATAGATGGCTTGGGTTTCCTTCTTCCTACTAGCTAGGAGTGTGGACACTACCCTGGCTGAGAATCCCTTTGCTAGCAGGAGTTGTTCCTCAGAAACCACGCTGCCAATTTTCATCTCTACACCCTGGGACATAGGACCGGGCCCTGCAATAGCAAGTCTTTCTGTAGAGGTAATACCCAAGGTGGCCGAATAGCTAAGGTCCTCAACGTTGAGAATCACGCTCGACAAAGGGCCAATACGGAGCTATTAAGATCAGAGAGGTTCTCTCCGTTCTGAACTTTCTCAACACTGCCGACAGTAAGGCGACCGGGGGGGGAAAGTGTAACATAGGGGAAAATCCCACTTCTGCGCCAGCGCATCCACCACCCGAGCCCCGTCCCACCGATTTAGTCAGAAGAACATTGGGACTTTGCTGTTCCGACCCGATGCAAATAGGTCTATGGCTGGGGACCCCCATTTCCTTACAATGGATTGGTAAACCTCCCCATTGAGAACCCACTCTGACTCTCTCAATTGCCATCTGCTTAGAAAATCGGCCACCTGTTTAATTCCCCTTTTAGGTGGACGGCCAATAAGGAGGCTAGATTCTCCTCTGCCCATGACAATAGCACCGCCGTCAGACCCCAGAGGGACCTGCTTCTTGTTCCTCCTTGTTTGTTCACATAGGCCACATTGTCCGAAAGGATGCGAACATGATGGCCCCCAATCAGACTCTGGAAGGAACGAAGTGCCTTCCAAACTACCCTTAGTTCCTTCCAGTTTGAGGATTCCCCTCTTTCTTCTCGAGACTACGCGCCCTGTACCACAGACTCCTCCAGGTGCGCCCCCCATCCCTGGGCGCTCGCGTCTGTAGTGATCTCCCTGACCACAGCAAAATTCCACAGTAACCCCTGAGTTACGTTGTCTGTCTTCCTCCACCACTAACGGGATCTCTTTACATTGGTGGGAATCCGCACCCGGGAATCTAATGACCACTGCTGCCGGTCCCAAACGTTCAAAATGAACAGCTGCAGGGGACGTAGATGCAACCCCGCCCACTGTGTACCGCCGGAATGGACGATTTTAACAGCCCTAAAACCGACATAGCTTGCCTCAACGATATTCCCTGGCTCTCCAGTAGCCGCCTGATCCCCCCGTTTAACTTGGTGAGCTTCTCCGGAGTTAGAAAGGTCTTTTGACAGGCTTTTGACAGACGGAGTCCAGTATAAATCCCAGATAAGTCATCCTCCGAGCTTCTGAACAAAAGGAGATCGTCTAAATAGGCTACCACTGAAATTCCCTTCATCCGAAGTGGAACCAGCGCCTCGGACATAACTTTTGTGAAGATCCTTGGAGAGGAGGAGAGCCCAAAGGGCAAGGCCGGAATCTGTAGGTGATACGTCCCTCCTGGACTCTGAACTGCTAGCCTGAGAAACTTTTGAAATGCCTCCGCGATAGGTATCCTTCAAATCAATTGAGGCTAGGAAAGCCCCCGATGCAAGCAGGGCTTTGACTGAGAAAATTGAGTCCATCTGAAACTTTTTGTATCGGATGGTCTCATTCAGGGTTTAAAATTTAGAATCAATCTGTACGCCCCTGAAGGTTTCTGGACCACGACCACAAACATGTGAGTAGAAAACCTCTGCTATCTCTGCATTGGGAACTCTCACTATGACCTTTTGCTCCTCTAACTCCCTTAGAGGCACTAGTAAGGCCGAAGCCTTTTGTGGACATCTGGGCAGGCTTGTTACAAATAACCTTTGTGGCGGTGGCCTCGAGAACTCCAGGTGGTACCCCCTTCTCACGATGTCCAGTACGAAGGGGCTGGAGACCTCCGCTTCCCACCGTGGGAGGAAGACCCCCCAATCTTTCTCCCTCCGGGGGAATCAAGTCACCGCGGCTTTTGGGGCTGCTCAGGAGGACAGAATATCGCTCCTCCTTTGCCCCTACCTCTCTGCCCCCATGCCCTCTTCTGAACTTCTGGCCTAAGGACCTGTCTCTTTGGGAGACAAAACTTTCTTCCCCCTTGATCCTGTTTTTTCCGCTTCAGGGGAAAGGATTTCTTCCTGTCCGCCGTGCGGTCTAAAACCGTTTCTAACCCTGGCCCAAATAGGAGATCACCTGAAAAGGGAATGCCACATAACTTCACTTTAGAAGCAATATCTCCCTGCTGTGTTTTTAGCCAAAGGGCCCTACGGGCTAAATTGGTAAGGGCCACCGACCTTGCTGACAACCTTACCGACTCTGCTGAAGCATCCGCAATGTACCCCACCCCCTGCAATAACATCTCAAAAGACGCTAGGATCCTATCCTTAGGGGAATCGGCCACGATGTGCGCCTGTAACTGCGTGAGCCAGTACTCCATATTCCTGGCCACTACCGTGGTGGCCATGGCGGGCTTCAAATTGGACAAGGTCGAGTCCCACGATTTTATAAGGAGGGAATCAGCCCTCCTATCCATAAGATCCGGAAAACCCCCATGTCGTCAAAAGCTAAATGCATCTTTCTAGCAATTTGGGAAAATGCCGCATCCAGCTTGGGATTTTTGTTCCACAAGGCAGACGGATCCTCATCAAACGTAAATCTGCGTTTGAGGGAGTTAGAAAAAAAAGGGCTTCCTCTCAGGATCCTGCCACTCCTTCTTTATCGTATCCACCAAAACTTCGTGAACGGGAAAAACTCTCTGCTTTTGTTCCTCCATGCCCTGATACATCTGATCATGCAGAGAAAGGGGTTTTTTATCCTCCTTAATGTCGAGTATTGCATAAATTGCCCCCAACAAATCATCTACCTCCTCCAGGGACAGTTTGTATCTCGAGGGGGCCTCTGGGATCATCTGAGGGGCCCTCCCCTTCTGAATCCTCTTTGGGCTGGGAGTCCATGGATGGCTCACCTTCCGCAGCCTCCTGGCCCACCTTTCCTCGACTAGTTGATGGAAGTACCTGCTGGGGGGGATGGGGTGTGGCCTGGGGTAATGCTAAACTCTCAACCAGCGTTTTGAAGGAGTCAAAGGTGTTGGTCAGTTCCTTCCCT